AGACACAATTTTATAATACGTAAATTTAAACATACCTCATCACTTAGGACTTAATAAACTTATTGAATGGTTCTTGATAACATTTATACAGAATCCTCATTAAATTATGAAATTTACAAGAAGTTACCTTAAACAGTGGAAGAGTCCTTTAACTCCTTCGCAAGAATGAGACTGCTCTCTCGGTGCAACGCCACGAATACATAGAAGATAGGCGTCAAGTGGAAGCAATTCCATCCTTCGTATGATCAGTGTGAATGCCGGACTCCTAATTTTATTCTCCTTTCCCTTCCCATCCCATGTATGTTAAGGAAAGGATGGGAAGGAGAAGTGGATTAGACGACGGAGGACGCTTAGAAAGAAAAAATTGCAACTTCTGTGCGCCGCCACCCCCCCCCCAGCCGATTAAAGGTAGATCACGTATCTGCATTTGCCTCTGGACAGCGGTCGCTTCGCTTTTGACAAATTCAGGTGGCAGCTTGTCCGTTTGTTACCTTAAGGTATTAAAAAATATGTATTTTTGGATATAATCAGAGCGATATGGTATAATATAAATATAGGAATGAACAACGTGGGTCTTACCCAAATTATACCATTTATATCGCACACTGGATAAAGTTTTACAGCAACGGCCGAGCCCCCGTCAGTCAAGCGGGTAAAGTAATTAAAATGCTTCCAGCTTAGGCGAAATTTGATACTTATATGATTAGCAACCTTACTCCTCGTCAAATACCCGCGTAATATGTGAGCTAAATCCGATAATGAGGAAAAAAATGTTTAAAACCAGATGAAATCAAAGGTATACAATTTTGATTTATTCCACTTTAATTTAAAGGTTAAGGCTGCATTTAAATTAAATAGACAGTCTCAAAGTCAATTAATCCTTATCTAAAATCCATTTGACGATACGCAGGAAATTGTTAAATGGAAAATGTTATTTCATAGATAGAGTCGAAGTTATTTCTGTATTACCAAAAAAAAAAAAAGACAAATAATTTTGTGTTCATGAAATTAATATTCATGCAATTACCTATTATAATATGAATTTAATAAAACAATTTTCTGTGAACCGTTTTTCATTTTACCGTTTGAAATGTTTTTAAACGAATCATTGAAGGAGAAAATGTTGAAATGCGGGCTTTATCATAACGAGTTACATGTGTGTTATGTTCAAACTTCAAACGTTAACATATATAATTATATTTGTTGTGATTACGTCTTTTTTTCCATAAGAGAAGAGGGTAAACGAGCGGCGAGAACATAAAGGTGGTGGATGGACATCCGCAACACCAGAGGAACTACTGCGTTGCTGGTCTATTGTGCAGCGCATTGTAAGTCAAGGGTTCTAAAGATCGCATTAGCAGTCATATGGTTTACTCTTGTCATATTGTAATGTTCCTGTAAACATTTTAACTCACTATTATGACAGCATATCACGTTATGAAGTCATGTTTATTTGTCACTTGATATGTCTTATGGAATATTGTTGAGGTAAATATTTCAGATCGTTTCTTGTAATGATTAAAATATTTACGATAAATACTCGTAAGAACTACGTAAGTATAAAACTTAAGGTGAACTTTTCTCATGAATAAAAGTTTAGACGTACTTTTTTAAGTCTAAGGTTTATTACAAATTTTAGATAATATTTTCATCCATAAAGCATTAAATTTTACAAAAGATTTACCTTACCAATTATACCTATCTCTATATTAAAACCTTACTTCTCTGCTGATTAAAAAAATCATTATCACTTAGAGCTCTATATTATTTTAACTCCTTTGTTCTTTATAAAGATGGCCCATCGATAAGTATTTGTAACAACGTTCTCTGAATAATAAACATTACAAAAATTTTAACTAATCTGACCAGTCATTGCGTAACAATTTTAAATGCGCTGGCAATGCTTGTACAATTTTTTTAAATAATTAAAAATACAAATTAATGTTTTTATGAAAAATGTTGTAATCATTACGCGCACGTGCATTCTTTGAGTTGCAACTAGAAACTCGTATTTTATAATCGATTTAAAAAAATAACAATTAAAAACGTTATATCAAAAGCTGTTTTGAAAATACGCAAAATTGACGAAAAAAATATTAATTTTTTTTCATTTGCAATGTTGCAATTTATTCATCTAAACTGTAGTTCCAACAAAGAGACAAAAACTAAATAAAACAATTGATCAGACATGTAGGAAAAAACCAACCGAAAATTTCGTAATGATTTAAATAAAATGAAAAAAATGATGTAGTTTTTCCTCCCAAATGACTCACAACTATCAAGTTGTTATAAACAAAAGACTATACAACGACTATTCTAGAGCTTCTACATTAAAGTAAGGGCGGGCGCACACTTTTGACTAAACTATAGCACAACTGTTGTGCGATTGTCGATTGTTTCGCAGCCAATTCAATTGTTTAATTACACAACTAAAAATCGAGTAGTGTGCGCAACTCCATATAAGTTCACATGAAACAAAGGGCAACTAAACAGTTGTGCGATAGATTAGTCAAAGGTGTGCGCGCCTTCCAAAGAATATTCAAGGCTCTGATGGTTGCACTCATATAACGGGTTTCGTTCGGTCACGACGCAGCTAAGTGACATTAATATTAACAGTACACAAGCGCTTGCAACTTGTTATTCAAGTTAATATGACATGTTCACAGCTTTACTATGTGACACTATTGACATCCCTTTCACACACATCGACATAAAAGAGACAGCAATATGTGTTAACACAGAAGACACGGCAAGGTAATTGTAAGGCTTAAAAATAACACTAGCAGGACATTCACCTGATGATAGATTTTAGATATAATCAAATCAACATTTGAAATATACGTCATTTTGAAATATCAGACTTTCATTTTTGTATCGGGAAAGATTCAATGATACCCTGCCTTCTGGGTGAAACACAGGGTAAGGTAACACTTAACTCACTAAATCATTTTTGGTGCCACCATCGAGTGTCACAGAAGAGAGATCCCGGATTGCCAAAGGAATTAACTAGGTTTCTGCCCTGGGCTTCTACACAACCCAGAGAAGACAGAAATGTTAAGTCAAAGTAGCAAGTAAATATTTGCATTGTGCCTTCTAACCTTTGGAGCGGTGAAAGAGCAATTGGTTTCCCTTCTTCATCAGCTTGATATATGACATTACCGAAGGGCCCTGACCATATTCAAGTTATGGTGATAGCTTTATTGGTTGTTGAAAATGTTTTTCACCTAGTAATAAATAATATGTATGGAACAATTAATTAGTTTTGGTTAATAAATCAAACAGACAATAGATCGGTATATCATAATAATAAACCACTATGCAAATCGTTGAATTAGGTTTGTAAGTGTATTCTATACTTAAGAAGATCTTTCTAGAACGTCATGGAAATAGGTACAAGATATGTAAAATAAAACAAATCCAGTGTTATATAACTTTAAACTGTCGTGGTTTTTACAAATATAATGTTCGTAAAATACAGGTTCCTTACCACAATTGGATTGTTTTAGCTCCCGATATTTCGGCACAGTTGCATGCGCTATGTTCACGGGCTGACTTAACCAAGGGAGCTAAAATAATCCAATCGTGGAAGAAACCCGTATCTTACGAACATTATAAATCCAGCGTTGCTACACTTTATAATATAAGAGGAAAGGTTAAATAAAAACATACAAACAACATAAAAACCGGTTGATCAGGGAAGCATAATTAACAATTGCAATTTAATAAAGTTAAACTAAAGAAAAAAAACTAAAAAAAACTAGTGAAACAAAAATGTTAAGTAATACGAGTTAGCTAATTATCTTCAACGTGAGCTTAACAACCTATAAAATTAAATTGATAATTAACTAACATTGTAATATTTGACAAATGACAAGGTATTTTTCCTCTTTCTGTTCAATAATCCTCCGTAATGTTCCAATAAACATTGTGCTAACATCACCTCTGCTAATTCATTGGTACCCAAAAACAAAAGAACTTAGACGAGAAGCCTATGATAGTAATACACCAGGAACAAAATAGTTCCGTGTAGTTGTATAACTAAATTCAATTATTATTCCTGAAGACGAGGCTCGCATAACTCCATACGTCTCAATGTCATTCAGTACTACGAATGTTTAATTTGTCGATCCTCACTGCCTTTGACAATTAATATTCAAATCAAGTCTATAGAGCATATGTGCTGAGAAAATAAATCTTGTCTTGGAAATATATAACCAAATACACATAGCATTCAATAGAAACGGTGGCTATTGTAAAACTCCAATATCTGATCTTCCTAATCCGCTTAAACCTGTCGTAACCCGCTTGAAAGAGTCCGTGTATATCGAGCCTTAGCTGCGATATAAAATCAGTAAATTTTAATCATTAATGTGAAAAGGCATTATATCGGTCATGCTTTAAAAACCATTCGTAATATTAAACTTCAACAATTTAATTAAAAATTGTTCAGTTTACAGTTATTTTCTAGAAACTCATTTAACGAATTCGTCGCATGAGCAAGCTGGAATCAAAGCGAGTATTTACTATTTATCGGAACTTCTTTAGGAAAGCGAAAAAGAATTTTCAGACCTTTTACTTCACAATTTGTAAAACATACGATTTATTGACGGTCTTTTAGAATAATTTTGTAAAGAAATAATGTAACTTTTTTGAGCTGAATCAACTTGGATTCTTTCTTCAAAGATTCATAGAGGTCTTATTCTGTTAATTAAAAACATTCGTATGAAGTAACGCCTTTAATATGTCATTTTTATGTAAACCGATGGAATAACGTTGTTTTACGCTTATTTATGCGATTAACCCTTACTAGTAATACGCTCGTTTAAATGTCCATTGTTCATTTTAAGTAGGAACAATCAAACCTTACGACATATTCAATTCCAAACCTGACATAACCCATTGTTCTAACGATCACCCGGAATGTAACGCACGACTGATTTATATGGCGTTGCAATGCAGCCCACGTACTATGATAACGCACTTCAAACAAAACACAAGCGAAGATTTAAAAAAATATTTATTAAAATACTGCTTTATAAATATATGCTTACAGCTACGTTATCACTTTAGGGTTGGACTTAGTTTCCGTGGGGGATGACATTGTTATTGTCGGTAACTTCCTCGCGGTCGGCCGGCGTTGTCTGTTCCTTCTTGTCGTCTTCTACTGGCTGTGCGGTGGAGGTTGGTTCGGCGGGCTTTTCGGTCGGCTTCTCTGATTCAGGTTTATCCTCCTTATTGTAAGCGGTTCCAGTCTCCTTAATAGGAACATCTCTGTCTGCAACTTTCACACCTTTCTCGTTGGATCCAGTTAGCGGCGCGGTCACTACGAGGTAACCGTCGTTGTATAGCTGCGCACTGACATCGGCGGCGGTGGCGTTCGCTGGCAGCGAATATGTGTGATAGAACTGGCTTGCGAACATGTCACTGTCCTCGTGCTTCGCTTCGTGTGTGCCCTGCACGAAGATGAAGTCACCCTTCACCTTCACAGAGAGATCTTCAGGCCTGTACTTCTTGACGTTGACTGCGATCTGGAACATGTTGTCCTTGGCGATTATCTTCGGGCCTATGTCGGCGAAGCTGGGAATGAGCTTCCACACGGAGCTGAACAAACTATCCCATGGGCCTCGGAACCAGGACGTGAAATCGTCCACCTCGTCATCGTTGACGGTGGTGATGGGTTGCGGGTACGAGACCTGCTTGAAGGAAACCGGTACGGCGGCCGCGAAGGCCACGGCGGCCAGTAGGGCGAAAACCGCAAGAAGTCGCGGTGAAAACATTTTTATTTTCTCTCTTGTGACGTGTGCTCTAGCTGGCTTTGTAACAAAAACTGCCGGCGGCGCGGGAGTTGGAGGCTATATAGAGGAAGCGGGGGGCGCGGGGAAACACATCGCTGACCGCCGATGACAGCGTTATGTGATGTTAAACGTAGACGTGCAAAAGATCATCATAATTAGTTTTGTCTCTGAGAGGTGCATTTTGCGCTATAAACATGACTACGGCATCTGTAAAAAAATTACTTGATTGTGAAGACTTTTGTCTTTACGGTATTATTTATTTTAGTTACAATTATACAATGCGGTAGTAAAAAATTACTCGATTAAAGGCAAATTCCATAATTAGTTCATACAAAAAAACATAGTGCCCTGAATTATAATGGAATATGTTAAAAATTAGCATCATTTCTATGCACAATTCTTTGATAAAAATCCAATCTGTACACTGAGTAATGCTTGTAGGTAAAAAAGTCAAATAATTGTCAAGTCTGTTAATAGTGAATAATAATAAACTCTTTGAGCATTAACCTTCAAAGGCCGGGTTCTAGAGTTCTCTTCAACGATGTGAATTAGCTCATTTTCCTTCCATAATGTACGTAAATCAGAGTAACTATTATCATATCAGCACTACGTGATAGTAAATAAGCTACCGCAAATCTGACTCATTGCGTTTACGCGTACAATAGAGCTATTTTTTGCTTGTTAGCAAATTTAATTGTATATTGTTCTTGACCGTTTGACTAATTAGAGATGACTTTATTTAAATAATCTATTCTTAAATAAACTATATTATTTGTTTATTATTCAAATTTTTCCATCTTACCTATAGATCTCTTTTACGTTTTTATTCGTATAATTGTACATTACTTCAGATGTAAAGATATAAATTAACGATTTAACTCAAATCACGACATAATGCGTTTCAATTGATCACGAATCAAATTAATTAATCTGCAAATCGTTGAATAATGTTTGTTCATTTAATACTGGGTAGCTTCGTGACTGTAAACATAAAAAAACATAAACTATTAGTGATCATATAAACACTTCGAATAATATAACATAAACAATGATTAAAAGCACATTTCGCATAGACTGGATGGGAACAAAAAATTGTTATGGCGGGAAACGGGATGCTTGGTAGAGTACAAGAACTTTCGCCTCGTGTATGTCCCTTCCACAGCATTTTACAGATAGACCACGTTCACTTCCATTTTTCACATTATACTAACTAAAAATCTATCTATCTGGCAACTTAAAAATCTTTTTTTTTAGTTATTTAATGTATTTAATGAAAAATTACTCTCTCTTACAATGATTCTTTTACAAATTGACTTTGATAGCTGTAATTTGCGATGTAAGCGGTACTTATGATAACGACGAGTTGTTTGCGACATAAGCATCTATTTGTAAAACAAACTTTGTATGACTCCTAATGTTAGGAGGACCTTTCATGTCTTGAACCAATTAGCATGTTTTGCTCTTTCAAGCTCATACAGCCAAATCTGGCTGCCAATTTGCAGACTTCGTCAGTCGTAAATAAAAAAAAATCTTGGAAGTTCTTTTGTTATTATAATAATTTTGAATTTAATAGATTTGAGGACTATAAAGGTCTTGAAGAGCAATGTAATTTTTTTTCTCCAAAAGTATACCTAAAACGTAGTGCGTAGCAAAGCAAATTTTGCTTCGCGTCAAAATAACGTGAGTTCTATTGAATTTGAAACAGTAACAAAACGTGCTGTAATGTTAAACTTTAGTAAACGTAATTTAAACATATCAGAAAGTAAAAATTGATAAAGCATGTACATAATATAAACATTCGGTTCCAATTAGAAAGGAAATATCTTTTCGCTTTTTAGTTACCATATTTAATTTAAAACCTAATAGTTCACGAAGTAAACTAAAAACAAATATTGCTACTACTACAAGACTACACTTAACTATGACATAAAATAACTGTCTAACCAAAGAACCACAGAATGCTAACAATAATAAATAGGTCATATATATAAAACGCGAGTATATCTATTTTACGTGTACACTAGTAAAGCTTCAAACTTACGATAACCATCATGATGAATAGCTTCCTGGCGGCAGCATTTAATTAAACGAATGCACAGGAAAACAACAGTTTCGTATATCGGAATATGCGCACACTTCGAATATACGAATAATCAATAGTTCCCAAATTTGTTTCGCATTAAGTCTATTGCTATCACAATTTAAATACTTTTAAATTTATTTTTAGAGTTATTTCATTTAATTATCATAAAACATTATCTTGTATAATTGGCTTGAATCTCAAATAAAATAATAAATCATGTTATTCTTAACTACACGCATATTAAGTTAAACAGATTGAAAAGGAAAAATCGCGGAGAACATTCTAGATTGTATTTTTTGACAATAATTAAACGCATAAATTGTTTAAACATTGCGTCCCCAATAAAATATAATAATATGCCAACTTTCATATATTCATAATGAATACTGCATCTATGTAAAGCAGCGAACATTTTGATCTGGGAATTAAGGTGTATTGAATTATATCGACCTAGCAAATACTACACTTGAAGGCTTACGCATCAGGCTTGCTCCGCGTTAGGTTTGAAAGCTTAACTCTACACTTCATTTCACACATCAATAAAACCCAGTTCTACTTCAACAATAACAACCAAAAACTCGTTACTATGTTCGTACATTGATTTCGATATAAAAATAACAAAAAAAAACTTTTTCAGATATAATGTAAGAGAAGCGAAAGTTTAGATGAATAGATGGTTTGCTATAGTTTGTAGCCTAAACTGCTGAACACATTTCGATGAAAATTGACATAGATGTAGTCCTCTAGTCTGGATGGACACACTTACTTTTTTTAAAATTCTACGCGAACATAGTCGCGGGCGAAAGGTAGTTAAAAGCATTATCATCGATATTTAAATCTTATGAACGTCTTTAGTATTTATTATCAAATAAGATGTTAATTTTCTTGATAAAACTATTAAACCTACGAGGAAAGTATGTTCCGTTATACGTGCTCGACCATCTTTACCGCAGCTTATGTTTAAGTACATTTTATGCAAAGAGAATAAGTTGTTTAAATTTCTTCGATGCAATTAACGGCTGTGCACTTTATCGAACTTTTTAAGGATTTTTTACGGTGCATAAAATATTACAAATAAGAGAGAGTATCGATGTTATGATTATGGAACAGCATGATTCTGTAAAAGAAATATTACAAGATGAATTTACTTTATTTACAATGACTCAATCGAGTCTAATATTATATTTTCCTAATAACTACATATTCGGTGTAAATGTATGAAACATCGTATATGTAAGCAATAAATTATAACCTACAAATTTAGATAATGTTAACAATTTCGTGTATTTAAAGAACTCGTTTCTTTCGTTTACTTTAGCGAGCGAGATGTAATGACGTTTATGTACATTCATCGTTTTTACGCCATGTCATCAGCACGTATAAACAAGATGGGTTTCTCCGGAATACGTTCGAGGCACGTTTCAATAATATCACTTAGCGACGCAAGGTTTTCTTCGACCTTATTGTGAATAGCTGCGTAAGGCGATTAAACTGCCCTTTGGACAATCCTTAACAATATCACAGAAGACTAATCAGGGTCAAAGAATGGATTACCAAAGATCATCATGGCGTATACAAACACGATTAACATAATAAGATAAGATGTAACTTTAAAATTGGTAATAGGCGTGGACGGCGCCCGACGATGACTAAAGGAGAGTATGGTGATCAAGGAGAGAGTAAAAATACCTTTTTATTTCAAAGAATGCATATCAGTATGTAGTCCTATTTCTTGATGAAAACAAACAAGACTAGGTAATGTAAGCACAGTGACTCTGAATTTATTTCAATGTTTAATTTTGACAATTTTCGATTCTAGCAGAGGCAGCTGTCCCTCTTCCCCCTGTCCCACCGGCGACGCCAATGATAATAAGTAAATCTTTGAGTTATCGGTAAGTTAGAAAATGTTTACAATGCGATTTGTCTAGAAAATAGTTTTAGGTTTTTAACTCGAAACATCTCACGACTGATGTGCAATTATGTAGGTAGATCGTGATAATCTGTTGCACAATCAACTGACAAACGCCTGTACACTTGGATTATCTTAGCCCAATAAATTAACATGAATGAATCATTTAATTGATTCAATTTCAAGAAAATTTTCAGCACTTGATTTATGTATCACATAATATCTCTACAGGAATAAATTCCCTTTCCGTGACTCCCGACAATCAAGGAAATTAAAAGGAAATCGGTTTTAAAAATGTAAAAGTGAATTCGGAAAGTGTCCATAGATCTTTGAGCATTTTTTAAAAATCATTTGAACAATCGAAAAAATGTATTAACCAGGGTTAATAGGGTGAAACGCTCAAAAAGGAACAATAATTTTATTCACAATTTTTATCTCCCTTCTAGCCCGTTTCGACAAATTTTTAAACTCACCTCTTTTACCTTCGTTAATGGAAGTATTTAAATTGCTTCGTAATTTCGTATAGGGAATTTAATTTACTGCAGTAATGTCGTTTACCAAAAATCCACGTCCCTAAATTAAACCAAGAAAATTAATTTAAATTATGATGTTACATTTCCTAAAACCAACGTAGGATTAAGTACGCTGTTTATTCTACTAACGTTGTGAGCGCCTGTTAGTTTTAAATAACTATTTATTCGCACGTAAATTGACTTTTACTTTAAACAGACGGCGAAATCTCGTAATTTAAGTCAGGCTATATTTTCAGAATTTCAATATACAGACAAAAAATCTATTGAAATAAACATACAGACTGGTTTTTAGGAATTTTCTGAAATTCAGGTTTGTTAAGTCATTGCAGTTCAAACCAGTAAATACAACTACAAAAAAATAAGGAGATGCAGAATATTCATCAAATAAATACAATTTTGTGCAGTAAGCCGTCTTAGCGGTATAAAGTTCGTACTGAATGTAGCTCAGGATAAGCTCCTTAGACGATATCGGACGGACCGAGCAAATTTAAGTCCATTGTAAATACACGTTGCAATGCTAAAAGATGTTTAAAGCCACCGTAGGAGACGAGATTTAATACGATTGAGAATATATTAGAAAAGGTTTCCAGATATTTCAATATGTAGTCCTGGCTCCTGGCAGCTACTTCTTCAATATTAACTAAATGTCCAAAAAGTATGTAATTTAATTTCTTTTTCATAGACGAATAAGTTCAATGAATGTAAGAATGTCACAATAAAGAATAGCTTGTCAAATTTGTTATAATATTGTTGTAAAATATATTTAGAAATGGACAAAGACGATAATGCAAATCTTGATGTAGAATATAACCGATACTTACAAATTTTACAACCGTACATAGAACAATTACTGGATCTGGAAGACATAGAATTATGTAACGCGTGGATTCGAAGACTATCAGACTATAAAGAAGACGAGAAAACTCTTCGTAACAAATATCTTTTTACACTCTGCTGCCAATTGGCAAAAGGTATTCTAAAACATCCATTCTGTAGTTTTCCTCCACCCAACGAACTACCCGTGCTCGATGAAGCCAGCGATGATTCACTTTCAGAAGGTGGTAGTAACTTTACACTGGGTTTCCATAATAGCAACGGAGAAATTTTAGTTGGCTCAACAACTTTATCAAAAACTATATTACAACCAAAAGACAGCGAGCTGACCGCGGCTTCGCATTCTATTCAAAAAAATATAGATAATATTGACAACAAAAAAGAAGAAGATGAATTAAAGCTCTTAACGGATAGTTTAGTAGGTTCTTCAAATTCTACTGTCACTAATTTATGCTACCCAGAAATATTAAAAGATCTATCCAAATTTGTTAATTCTGAGGATAACGTGTATTTGAGAGTTAATAACCTTATTGACAAACTTCGACAAATCAAGAAGCAAAACACGTTATTGCTTAAAGAATTGCAGGTTTTAAAAGAAGAATCAATATCGAGGCAAAACATTCTTCAAATTCACTGCGCTACTAATACAAGTATCAGTATTAAAGCTAATGAAAGTACAGATGTTGACTCAAAGGGAAATTTAAGTACATACGATGTTGAATGCCAAAATGACTTGAGCAAACTATGCAAACAGCAGTCATTTGATATCGAAGAGTTAAAAAAGCAGCATGAAATCGAACTGAATAGTATAAAAACTGCTGCACAGCAAGAGGTTCAAGATGTTTATGAAAAAAATATACAAACTATAAAACAAGATTATGAAATGAAAATAAAAGAAATGAAAACGAAACATGAAAATGAAATTAATAAGTTGAGAGCTTCGCTTATTGATGTGAACTTTGAAAAAGAAAACATTGTAGCACTGAAAAATCATGAATTAATTAATTTACGCGCCGAACTCGATGAAGCAAAAGCTAACAACTCTGTATTGAGGAGCGGCTTTGTCAAGGCATGTAATGACTTCAACTCCGAAACAGTGAAAGAAAAGGCATTAGAATTTGAGAAAAGACTATATAAAATAGAAAAATCAAAAAATAAACATGTAAAAGCGTATCAAATGCAGTTGGCGAGTCTTCAGCGTGATAAATGTTTACTCGATAGTTCGCTTCATCTGCAACTTCTCAAGCAACGAACTGAATTACTGACAGAATTTACAGAAGAAAATCAAAAAGAAATATTGGCTACTGTTGAAAAATTGGAAGGAAAGTATAAAGAGATGGTGGCGAATGTCCAAGCTTCTGCTATACAAAGGAGAATTCAGGATCAAATAGCTCTAGAAACTGTAGTACATGCAGTATACGGCGGAGGATTTAAGAATGGACACGCGACTTTCAGATCGGCCAATAACAATGTACTGAAATCTAAGTTAATAAGAAATCGACAAGATAACGAGGAGGATCTATTGGCATCACTTCAACTTAGCGGTGTTGGCAAGAACTCAAAAGATAAAGATGTTTCAAAACGCGAAGATGACTTGGTTACTGGCTTCTGTTTAGATGAAGTCAAATTAGAAGAGTTATATGAAAGAGTTCATATTCCGCAACGGGATACATGTAACAATTAATGTGTAACTCTTAAAAATGCCCAGAAATGTTTAGCAAATATAAAAGGTAAACAAATAATCCACAAAAAAACATGTGTATGGTGGTATAGTATTATACGTTTAAGAAATTCTGGCACACTTCTCACATTCACATGTAAATTTTCAAGTTGAAATAATTTATGGACATAGAGAATAAAATTATGAAATCGTTAATGACAAATTGGTATTTGACATCTTCGAATCAGTGATCAAAAATTTAATTTCCACCTCCACGGAAACTGTTAAAATTAATTTGTTAATACAAAGGTCGCTGCTCGTACAATTTGACGGCACTTGTTCTCAACGCTCGTCTCGCCGACGCCGAACTTCACAATGTCAATTTGATCAAAGCCATTTATAGAAATTAAAAGGGTTGTACAGACGGTTAAGGAAATATTTGTAATGATAAAATGACTGGCTTTTCACCTTTAACTTGAATTTTTATTTTATTTTATTGTGGGAAAACATTTTAAATCTATAGTTTGAACAATTATGTTTTTTCGAGACATCAATTCTAAATCAACCACATCCAGCTGAGAAATTGTATTAAGGTCCAGAATATTAAAAGGCTATCAATCATTTGAAGAAAGGGCTGGTTATTTGTAAATATTAAATCCCAGTAAAATGGTACAAAACTTACCTCCAACTGTTCCTAACCACTGGTGCAAAGACATGTTTGGTAATCGTTTCATAATAAACTTAATTTTTTTTCCATTATAATAATATTTAAAATTAAGAGGATCCGAAGAACAGAATTACTTTTATATCTCCTTAAAACGTAGGCTCTAAACTCTAGATTAATTCATATTTAATTCCTGCTGCTTAAAAGGCAATAAAATCAGATACAAAACGAGGGACAATCGACGGTCGTTTGAAAACTAATTGGAATGTAAATTGGTGTATTAAAAGGGATTAGATAAGAGGGGACTAACAGATTGTTTCTGGGTCTCAATAAGGGCAATTAGAAATAAACAAATTATGTAAATCACGAACAGTAAATATCATTATTTTCAATACTATTTTAAACATTATCATCATGTCTCGATCTGCTTTCCATTATTTCAGTAGTCACTTCCTTCTTGATCATGTTTTCACGCAATTCGCGTCTCTCTTTTTAAACCATCCATCTCAAATACTTATTAGATTTCTTAGTTACAATCTTTTAATGTTTAGGAAGTTCAACGTCACTTTGTTACAAGCTACAGTTCTATTTGATGCTGCAATGACATTCCCAACCTGTCCCTGTTAATAACATGATAAATATAAGTTACTTTTTTAATCCAACAAGGCTTTTGTGTAGCAGACCACGCTTTTCATGTTACTGATTACCTTCAAATTCTACTGAAGCCAGTTATTTGTGCGTGAAGGGAAAAAAACATTTGTCCTTTTCAAAGACGTTACCTTTCAGTTCCATTCAAGTGTAATTTCGGAGATAGGATTCCTCCGACCTTCGATTGGCAAACTAATATAGTTTGAAATCGTTTAATGTGAAATAACGTTTTTGATGTTTAATGTGAATCTTATTTTATATATCTATGTTTTCATTAAATATTCAACGTAACATTTACATATATTTTTCAATGATACAGCTTTTTGTATGCATAAAATTTTAGTAAAAATAATGCGCCGTTCATTACTTTATGAATTAATCCTCTGTCTCGTAAAGCATTCATTGTAAAAGTACAGGTTCATAGGAACCTAATCATACTAATTTGGTAAATGAGAAAGATAAATAGATGTTTATTAGAGTTTGTAAGCTAAACGGATAAACGGATTGCGATCAATATTTGGCATAGATGTAGAGGCTATTCTGGACACATAGGCTTCTTTCTTTTGTTTTTTTTTTTAATTGCACGCGAACGTAGTCGTGGGTAAAATAGTAATATCAATAAATTCCACATTCAAACGGAACACAGTTCACCCGCTATTTACTGACTGGTAGCCAACAAACTTGCAATTGAGTTTTGTAGGAAGGCAAAGTTCTGCTTAGCTCTGCAGGACTACCTGTCTACCAACTAAAATACGGAGCAACGCGAATTTGCACTTTCTAAACTTTGATCTATCAACAAGACCTTGGTCTACGGCTAAATTAACTCTATATTATTGTAGTCTAGCTAATATCTTACTTCTTACTAATATTATAAATGCGAAAGTTTAGATAGCTGGAGGTTTGTTAAAGTTTGCAGCCTAAACGGCTGAACGGATCTCCATGAAATTTGGCACAGGTTTAAAGCATAGTCTAAAAGAACACATAGGCTACTTTTTATCCCGGGAATAGTTACGGTTCCCGTGGGATTCATTAATTTAGTTTTTTAATGTTTACTCGATCATTCAGCAACGGTTCTTATTGAAATTTGGCACATATATAAATCAAAGTCTGGAGTACACATGGGATAAGGTTCATTCCCGATAAATGGCCGGTTCCCGAGAAATACGTAATTTTTTGTTATTTGTATAGTTCGCGTCTAAAACTACGCGGACGAAGTTGCGAGCAACAACTTGTATTTTATAATGATATTTTACAAATACGTTTAAGAAAATTAAAATATTATTATGATCTTTTGATGTGTTGATTTTTGACTATCGTATTTTTTTTTAAATTATTATTGCTCTGTTTAATCTATGATCTAGCTATGTTCGTAGCTCATGGTCTTATCTGGTCTTAAACAAACAACAAAGCTATTCTCTAACGCAGGTTGTGTCTCATAAAGTTTGTCGTAAACCACATCCTAAGTCCGTCAGCACATTAGCAGAGCTCAGACCTCATAATGAATTCACCTTATTGAATTAATTATGTTTGGAATACCTAATCTGGATTTGCATTATTACAATGAAATTTCACTGTAATTATAACAATGTAGGTAATAAAAGGCTTCTGAAGTATATTTTTAATGACTGAAGATTGTTTTTAATATTTGCAATTATTTACTGTAATCAAATTAATATTATTAATTAAAGAAAAAAGATAATAAGAATTCTACACTAGTTAATCAGATGATAGACTAGATTTTAAACATTTCATAATTCAAATAATTATTATTTCAGCCATTTTATTCCTAGTAAATATAATAATACTTTGTTACATTAATCAAATTTTAAACTCACATATTTCCATAATGAAAACGCGAGTTGAATGAAGCAAGCTTATATGCACAATGTTTGAATGTGGTCGTAGACTTCAATTTGAGACATGTTTCAAGCCACATTACACAGCCTGGGGCGCTACACTAACTGGGAACTGGGACAGTCTAGCAGTCGACGGTACATCGTTATATCAATATTACACTGAGTACACATTCTAATAAGATTCAATAAAGATCTTACCCAAGACACAACATACCATAGTACATAAGGTACATAAGTATAAAGTGTCAATAGGGTTAACAACGGCCCGAGCCGAGGCTCCTAAGGGACCTCTCGAGCCTAGATAGCGCCATCTGCGCTCGGCCACCTCAAGCCCGGTGAATCTGTAAATGCCTCTTCAAGGGAAACAGTGGCCACTCAGTCACTAAAATAATTGAGTTAACAATAATACATAGTGATTGTGGTCGAAGGTTCAAATCAGGTAACTATTGTCCTGTACCATAGCTAAGAGCCTTAAATTACTTGGAATTGGTACAAGCATTTGTAATTAATAAAAATATATTCGTGAATAAACAATCAAAATAATAAACATCTTGTTTGAACTATAGAAATTCAATAAAATTCTAAATAAGTCTTCCAAAATAAAAAGCTAGGTCAAAAAACTTTGTAAACGTCGATTTAAAAAAGAAACGTAATGATGCAAAGTTTAGTTCATAACGAAGCAGATACAGGCCTTGGGGAATCTACTCTTATGTAACAAGCAATGTAGAGCAAAGTAATTAATATTAGTCTTGGAGGTTTATCTCTATGGATTATATATTTTTCATGCTTAGCATTAATTTTTTTCATGCAAATTATGACAAAAAATCAAAATAAAGTTATGAAGTTGTGTTCTGATTTCACATGTGATAAAAAAAAATTAAGAACGTAATATTTAAGCAACTATTAACGCTTGTAGAACAATTCACTCGTATTTGTTAAAACAAATTTCTGTAACACGAGTAACGATGATAGAAATCGTTGAAAGTCCATGCATGTATTGTTTCTGGATAATAAAACGTCGAGCGGGGAACATAAAATGCATGTACAATAGCCTGGAAAATAGCTCTCGTCATATAACCAAAGTGTTTAGAACAGAGTGCCATAGAAATTGGAAATGCAATAACGTACGCTGTTTTATTTTTTTGACAACTGACATGCTAAATACTCGCCTAAATCAGCTGGCACTTTGTACACTCAGGCCAGTAAAATTTATACTTGACCGTGTTATTCTTGTCAAACTTTATACCCTACTCGTCTACTCCATAAACTTACAGACCAGACAATGATAAGTACATTTTTGCTCAATATGACTTATTAATACAGGTTTAATAGACAAAAATGCTATTTTGTTTAGTCATATTTTGATAACGAGTGTTTCATATTTTAATATTATCCTCAAAATTTCTGATTCATTTAAAAGCTTGTCTTATAAAGTGCAGGACAGTTTTAACAGTGGTAGAGCCCGCTTTAACATCTTCGCACGAATGGGCCGGCTCGCCCGGTGTAATACGATGACCACACAGAAAACAGTCGTGAAGTGGAAGCAATTCTGCGTTTCTTCTGATGAGTGTGGTGCCGGAAGCCTAATTCTAGTCCCTTTCCCTTTCCACCCTTTTCTTAAGAGGAAAGGATGGGAAGGAAAAATTAAATTTGACGGTGGAGGAGACACATAGGAAGGGGAAATGTCTTTTTTATGTGCGTCTCCTCCTCCGTCAATTAAGGATAGGCAACGCATCTGCAATTGCGGATGTTTATGGGCAGCAGGCGCTTTCCATGTCGGTGGATTCAGGTGACCGCTTGCTCGTTTGCTGCCTTATATTATAAAGAGGAATTGTATTTATAATATTCTCACCTATGGCCACAGAAATATCGTAGCGTATAAATGACCTCAAGGAAAACGAAAGATAGGAAGACCTTATAATAGATGAGAAGATGATATAAAGAAAACAGTAGGACCACAGTGGATCGAAAACGCAAAATCAAGGAAAACCTGGCTGGCTTTGGAGGAGGCCTTTACTCGCAGAGAGGTTCCCGCAACGTCCAAGACAT